CAGGTTTGGTTTCCTATAAAATAGTAACAATTATATACATAAATAATAGTTGCCAAAGATTCAAACAACGGTATAAGAAAAGAAAAAAATAATTATTTATTACCAAGGGGAAGGCGTTTCAAACTATTTGAACGATTTTCATCAAATTAAGCAGCCTTTTTCATAGACTGAGAGAAAAAAAATATATAACTATCCATTGGCCTGAGCAAAATCCAGAATGCCCTGTCCGGGCATTACAGCACCTTGTAAAGTGTATGCTCGATTTGTGGAGATTTACAGAGTCCTCCTTGAGTGCTTCCAAGTCTAAAAAATGGAAAAGAAGATGCTATTTATCAGGTCGCCAAATACACATTTTTAAAAAACTCTAACAATTCTCTTGCACCTCAACTTTAGCAATTGTATCTACGATATAAAAACATTCTTCCTCTACCCACGACGCCCGAATACCTGTTGCAAGAAACCTCTCTTGACCATATAGGCCTAAGAACTGACTAAATTTGGATTAATTTTAGTCTCAAGAGAGTGCAAGTAAGCATAATCCTACTTTTCGTTTTATCGGCTGATCACTCGCTTTGTATAAAAGTATCATATGCCCCTTAAATCCATTATTTCAAGCACCGAGGAAAATCTCGACACACGATCCGCCTAGCAGCCATTAGAGACAAAGTTTAAAGACATAATTTTGGTAACCAAAAAATTCATATCCTCTTCGTTCTTCGGCTTTAAGAAATTACCACATTAGATGCATTAAAAAGCTTTAGAATACATTGGCACTAAAATGGCAATAACCTCTTTATCGTTCTTTTATAACCTTACAAAGTCAAGTACATTCGCTAATATTCGGTCTAGGTGGCACTGATGTCGATTATATCTAAAACTTTTTGTTCAGCTCGATTTTGAAATAGATTCGAAATATTCAACGAGAAGAAATCCATCAGATGAAGTAGAATAAAGGGCAAATAATTTAAAATTACCGGAAAAAGGATAAATATTTTTAATTCATCTTTCGCCTTTACTAAATTATTTTGGCCTCTTAAAGCCAAAGAAGGCTTACAAGTAAATAAAATTGTCTTAATGGGAATTGTATAACAAATTATTAGTTTCGGAGTAAAATTTTGCTGGGAAATTTTTGACAAAGTAGAAGTTTGAGAAAAACTTGAACAGTGAAACTCCAAAAATAATAGAAAGTGCAATTGTGTTTTTTCGGTTACAAGTAACGAGATTGCGATACAAATATTTTAACGCTGGCTTGCTATTTTACTATCAAATTCGATGACAGAGATGAACTTGAAGAAAATCGACGAACTGCATCGAAAGCTATGCAATGTTGGAAATCGCTCAAATCGCTGACGTACAACTGTCGAACTGTTTTACAGCTTATTTGTGTTGATAATTTTTTGGAGCCCCTCGGCAGAGAATATAAATCTCTCCGAATAAATTTTTGAAATTAAATAAAAATGATTATAAAAAGCCATCAGCCGTTTGGAGGCGGTTCGCAATATCTGTTGAAAAAAATATCAAGATATAAATCAGTCGAAATATACAAGTTATTTCAGTCAAGACGAGCATGGGAACTAAACATAAGTTTTCTTTAAGATCAGATAGGGTTAAGCCAAAATTTCTTCAGCAGAATAAAATTTGTATGATATTTACATAAGTTAAAGTATTTATAAATAAATGCTTCAATTTAAATTCAATCAATATCGACAACTGAAATTTATTGTTAACCATCACATGACAGCGTCAATTGCTGACTCAAGCAGCTCTTCGCACCTAATCCAATTGTTTACTATGTAAAGTAATGTGTAGCAAAAAGGCTTTTGTGAAGCATGCCTACCTAGGTACATATACATATATGTAATGATATAAGCGTGACACTTCATTTCACATTTCTACAAGATTTTTATTAAATCCTGCACATATCCTGATTCATACTGGCACTTCACGATAACAAATTCTTGCTTACAAAATAACATATGCTTGTATATAAATAATATGTTGGATAGTTGAATAAGTGTATGTATATCTTTTATCATATACAGTGAGTAGCAAAAACATCTTCTCACAATATTGTTATAGAAATATCGCCTATAATTATTACAAAATCACTTAAAAGAATATTCCATTATTGTCTGATTTTTAACAACTTTTTAGTTTTTGTAAAATTAATTTTTGAAAAATTTTTAAGTTTTTTTGGCTCATGAATTATTAAGAGGAGGAAATAATTTTCTCAGACACCGCTTTTTTTAAACAATTTTTTTAAGGTGATGAATTTCGTCCTTTTTTGTGCATTTTTCTTTAAGATTGTATTTTGTTTGAAATTTCTGATTGTACTCAAAATAATGATAAAAAAAAGACCGGAAAGAAAGTTTGCAAAGTTTAAAAAACTTTGGAATTTTGTATATGGTTTTATATATTGAATTATGTTTTAATTAATGTTAATTAAAGCAATTTTTTTTGATAAAAAATTGCGCTAAACTTTCTATTGCGGTCGCCCTTCGGCAGGGAATGTCCACCCTCCGAGTGTATTTCGGAAATGAATTAAAGGCTCCTCGTAAAAAACCCATCAGCCGTTCGGAGGCGGCCAAGAATAAACTGTAGGTCCCTCCATTTGTTGGAAAAACATCAAGATCCACAAATTGGAGGAGGAACTCGGCCGAAAATCGCTTCAGTGGTTACAAAGGACAAATTATATATATAAAGTTATTTTTGCTTTTGAAAATCAATTGCTAATAATTAACATCGCCAGCATCACGTCGTCTCACTGCACACGTATAAGAATGAATGTTACATATCCGTAGCTGGTTTGAAGTACCACTTTAACTGACTCCACAACCACCAGAGAACTCAATGTTTACTTTGCGTATATAAGCTTTTTTTTTTAGTTTTCCTCCTTTCTTATGTGTACATATTATATACAAACATACGTCTGTAAATGTGGTTTCAGGGATTAGTATGCTTGTGGTTACAAAGATATGTAAATATGAGTATATATGCAATTACTTCTGTGAAAGATTAGCTGCTTCTAAACATCATCTTATGCCACGGACAGATGTAGATTTTTATTCTTACCTCAACATCGTGTCTATTCATCATGTTTATTTTCTTTAATTTTATCATTTTTGTGTTGATTTTGGTTTGGATGTTATAACAAAATTTGTTGTCTTTGATTGCGGATTTTTTCGCTTTTGTCACCACATATTTGTGGTTTATTGATTTAGCTTATTTGGCACAGATTGTGGGAGTCGATGCCGATGCTGCATTTGAATGATTTAAAAAATGTAAATAAAAATTCCCAAATGTAGAAAATAAAGTTTATATTGCCTTCTACTGAAATGAATGCTTTTAATTCGTGTAATTTAATTTTATATTATTTTAATTTACCTCCTTTTATTAGATTGTTCATTATTTCATTTTATTATATTTTTCATATTTTATCTATTTATATTATAGTTCCTTTATATTATTTTGTTTTATTTATTTTATTTTTCTTTGATTTTATTTTGTAGTATTTAATTTTATTTTAGGTTGTTTTGTTTTAATTTATTTTACTTGAATTTAATTTCGTTTTAATTTGTTTTCAATTTATTTTATTTTAATTAAATTTTTTTTATTTTAGTTTATTTTAGTTTGTATACTATTATTTTTTTTATTTCATTCTTTATTTATATTATTTTATTCTTTCCATTACATATTATATATAATTATCGCTTTGTAACTGTTGAAGCGATTTTCGGCGGTGCTCCTCCTCCAATTTGTGGTTTTACGTCTTGAAGTTTCTCCCACAAATGGAGGAACCTACAGTTTATGCTAAGCTGTCTCCGAGCGCCCGCGGTTGCCGGGTGGTTAGCGTTGTATACTGCCATTGGCAAGGGACGGGTTCAAATACCGGTGCGACCAACATTCCAAAGTTATAAAAAATTATTTAAAAAAAATAAGATAATTTTTCTAATTGCGATCGCCCGTCGATAGCAAATGTCAACCCCTCCTGAAATGAAACAAAGCGCTTCATTATATTATTAATTTTTGCATTATTCCCTTTTACATCAATATATTGTTTTATTCATTTTATATTTTATTTTATTTCGTTTATTTTGATTTTTGTTTATATTAAATTATTTTATTCTGTTTTGTATCATTTCATTTTAATTCTTTTCAAATTAATATAATTTATTTTTATAATTTTTTTTATTTAACTTGATAATATTTTAGTATATTTTAATTTGTAAAAATTATTTATTTATTTCATTTTATTTTAGTTTTTATTTATATTATTTTATTTTCTACTATAATATCAGTTTTTCTTTAATCCAGCTTTAATCATTGCATTGTTTTTTTATTTTATTAATTTGGTTTTATATATAATTTCATTTATTTAATTTTGTTCATATTGTTTTATTTTTTTTTTTTAATTTTTGTTATTTTATTTTGTTTTATACTACAGTATTTTATTTCATTTAATTTTTATTTGTTTCTTTTCAGTTAATTTTATTTTACACATTTTATATTTATTATTATATTTAACTTGGTGAACTTTAGTTTATATTAATTTTTTTTGTTTGATTTCATTTTCCAATATATAATTTGTATTCCTTTTTCTACTCTATTTTAAATTTTTTCATTTATTTTTGATTTTTAGTTATGAATTCTCAAAAACTTAACTTTATTTATCAGATGGAAATCAAAAAAATTAATTTAATAATAATGGATTTGTGAAAGTTTTTATATTGTAGGCCCCACATCAAATTTTATAGTTTTGTTATAACAGATACGAGAATGGAAACGATCTGATCATTTGATATTGCGTAAGTTTTAAGTCTTAAATTGCATTGACTCAAACATTTCATTGGTATTAAGACGTTTTGCCACCATTAAGGCCTATGAATGATCCAAACCGTTAGGAGCAAATATACTAAGTTTTCCACAATACAAAAAAGGTGAATAAATTGAGTGTTCTGAAATCCAAATCGCCTGATTATTTATAATTAAAAAATTCAAAATTTTTTGTCATATACTTTATTAATAAAAAATGATTTATTAAAGTACATATATGCAACTAATGAGTGGTTATAACTAACAATGTAATAAATTATGTACTTAAAACTAAATTTGTAGCCCACTTCCATATCCATTTCACTCGCTCTTACAGTTCATCGAACGTCATTCATACCGTTAGATATTTCAATCTCATGGAGATCATTTTGGTAATCTGTATCTTCTTCTTCAGGGTCGGTCATTACAAAGTCATATAGCTCAATGCTTTGTCCAATTTCTCTAATTCCGCCCGATTTTCATTGCCCACCTCCTTTGTCGTGAACTCTTTCTTCATTTTGCGCAACAAACGCAAAGCTAAATTACTGTATTTCTCATTTTGGGCTCGATCGACGCTCAAATCCAATGTGGAAAATGCAATTTTTGTATTTCTACCATTGGTAGCGATCTTCCTCTCATGCAGATGATCTCGTCTCAGTAGTAAATCGAGTATGCGTAAGCGTATGGTGCGTTTGGGTTTCTCGAAACTCATAAGACGCTTGCGCGCGCGTATTGTCTTCGGCACTTTTTGCGCTGATGTTGATGAACTATTAGCTAGAGGGTATATGCCGGACTCTTCGGAATCCGAGCCATTTTTGGCGCTTTTCAACGCTTCTGGTGAAGGCGGAAACAAGAGACGCGGTTTCTTTGGCAATGTAGTCGGTGTACGGCATGGTGTGCGTTGTAATCTGATGCTGACATCACTGAAATAAGTCTCATCCTCATCTGATGAACGGGAGCGTTGCGAAATGGGTCGCTTTGGTAGCGGTGTTGTAGGTGGTAATAATTGTGGTGACACAGCGCCTGGTTCATTTTTGTAGATGCACAGACTAAGCCTCTCTTTAGTAGGCGATGATATTGGACTCGGAGCACAGCGGAGTGAGTTGAGTGAAGGTTCCGATATATGGAATGATGTTTGTAGAAGTAAGCGAGTTTCTTCTATCTGCTCATTGCGGCGCTCTTCATTTTCACGTTGTTCCCGCTGCAATTTGGCTATTATCTCTAAGATTTCGACGAACGAGTTTAGATCCTCTCCGCTGAAGTGTGAGGCGTTAACACGAAACTCTGATGACGATGAGAATACGGGTATAGAGGAAAAGCTTGCGTCCTTTTGTGTAGCCATTGTGTGCAATTTGTATTCGTTTTCGATTTTGTATTTCAATAAATCTTTAAATCTACTTCAGTGACTGGAATTGTGTTCTTCACACTTGATCGTATACTTTGCGAATGCTGTTTGCAGTCGGCAAGGGATCGCCTTATATAGGCAATGTCCTTACGCAGACGCAGACAGTCGCTACTTGCCTAGGCGTTTCTCATAATTATTTAATCGTTGACGCACGCTCATGTCTGCATATTTGTTTGCAGCTACCTGCCTTGGCGGATTTGCAAATTCTACAGGCATGACAAATTTCAATTGCATTCTTTTTGCAAAATCATAATTTGGGTGCTAGGACCATCTGAGTGCATTTACACCAAAATGTATTCATAACACATTTGTTTCTATGCGATGCAAGCCTTTGTGGTAAATGTGGAAAATCTCACGCTTTCAACGCTCTTGTTTAGCGTAAAAATATTTAAACGATCGCGTGGTCCCATTTAAATACAAATACATAAGAAACTATGTCCTTTACTTTGTTAAAAAAAAAATCCTTTGGAAATCGCTTCTTCGGTTTCTCTTCCATTTCAATATGGGTACTAAGTACCTTTGTTCATTGAAATCGTGTTTCTTATGGTGGTCATTTCACTGCTTCCGAAATTCCAAGAATTCAAACAACAGTACTCAATCTTTGGTTTCGCTGAGTTGTGCGCGAATGATACATTTTTTTTGTGGGCGGTCACGTTTTCAAGGACGAATTATCGTACACTAAATAGTAAAAGGATGAAATGTTGAATTGCGAATATTCTGTACAAACAAAATGCGTGCTATATCCGAAATATCTACGTTCCTAGAATAACGGCAAAGTGTATGGAACGGAGAAAAAGTACAGTTAGTTCAAATGAAATAAAGAGCACATCACGCACATAACCAAAGAAATGTGTTTGTATATACGTTTGAGTATACAGAATTTAACAATTTACTACTGTGTGTAAAATTAAAATTCTTTGTTTATTGTTCTATATCGATTTCGGCGCCTTCAAAAGAGTCCCTTGCCGATGTTATGCACTTAGGCCTTCCGAGAGCGCGCCGATTCACGTTTAATCTCCTCCATCGACTCAAAACGGTGTCCTCGAAGTGGTCTCTTGTGTTTTTGGAAAATCCAGAAGTCACATGGTGCTAAGTGCGGCGAATACGGTGGTTGGGGAACGATATTCGTGGAATTTTTAGGGAAATGGTCACGAAGAATGAGCGACGGTGCATTATCGTGATACAAAAACCAAATATTGGTGGCCCATATTTCCGGTCTTTTTTTGCGAATTGCTTCAAGCAAACGACGCATAATACTTAAATAATATTCATTATTTACCGTTTGACCGGGCGGAAGGAATTCATAGTGCACCACACTACGAAATTTGAAGAAAACAGTCAACATGACCTTGATTTTTGAGCGACTTTGACGTGATTGATCGGAAGTACCACTTATACACATTATTCTGCGACATAGTTGAGTCTCCAAAGGCTTTCTGTAGCAACCTCAACGTTTCAGCAGCCGAAATTCGTTCCACAAACAAATTTTGTGAATTGAATAATAAATATGATTTTTTCGGTGACAATCGTTCGCTCTGTTCCTGACAAACACATAAAAAAATATTTAGCGAAATCGGCCAGCCGATGATCAGACATTTTTTTTTAGGCTAAGAAAAAATCAACTTGGTGAATAACGAGCACCCTAATGATTAGGTAGCCAGCGGGGAATGGTAAGGCCTGGGAGGGGAGAAGTTTAAGTTGAAACGTTGTCATTGACATTTGAATTCAACGCTAAAAATTAACCCAACGTTATCATAGAAAATATATGGTCTCTTAATTTCGTAACCAGTACGAAGAAAGGAAGTGCACATGTGTATTTTCTATCTCTTTCTATCTATTTCTACCATGTTACTAAGTAAGCGGTTCTTCAGGTACCTAATTTTTATCGCATACTAGATAATACTAAATAGTGTATCTATTGCCTATTTCAGGCCTATTCTGTCGGGGTGACAAAATTTACTTTGGTATTAAAATTTACCATTCAGTAAATTTTGTTACTATTTCGTATTCTGAGTTCACTGTCAACCTGTAAAATTTGTTACCAGCGAAATGTTTGAGTTTGTGTTGTTAGTTTAGGAAAAAATAAAAAGCAAAATGGGTAGGCATATTTAGGCCAGGAATTCATTGAAAAGTGTTAAAAGGCGTATGCTAAGAAGTTGCGAGAAAAAAATGGGTCTTTTCAATGGAAGATAGCGTTTTCATTCAGCTTTATTTTTGTCGTTCAGGCATATTTTCCAAAATTAGGTTCAAATATTTATGACTTAATAAACAAATAAATAAAACTTATTTATTTTGTTGTGCACCGTCTTCCATTTCTATGTGAATATTATTCTTTTTTACTATAGCAACTGACAAGGACGAAAAATGCAGTGCTGCCAAAGATTTTTCAAACGTTGTAACCAGTTTGCCAGATTACCAAATTCTATTTCGGGTGTTAAAAAAAAGTAGCAAAATTTACTTTACCGGTAAAGGCGAGAATGGGCCTGTAAGTGAGAATTTTCCACATAATTATTTCACAATTTAATGTTTTGTGTTCGTATTTTCATACGAAAATTCAATGTTATTGGGAACTTTTATTATTATTCAATATGATCAGCTGCCAGAAAGATAACAGCTTAGATATTTTTTCAAAAGTTGAATACAACCGAGTAGAACGCCTGAAGGATAAGCGAAAAATTCAACAGAAGGGAAACGAAAACTAGTTACAATCGGGACTGCCCTGAAAACGAGACCGACTGCGGAAGGTCGCGGTTTCACTTGCCTTGTTTTTTAGTTAGAAATAGAGCTCCAAACACCTTTCTGCGTCTATGTGGATATTCTTATTCGCAATTTATCACTTTGCAGTTGATTTTTATTTTATTATATTCCGAAAAGGGCTTTACAGCGAATTAAAGAAAATGACGAAATGTCAACCAAAAATATTAAACCCAAAGTTATTCCAAACTTTTTATGGACGTTATTTATAAGAAAAAGACCGAGATCACAAAGCTCATTTAGGAAATCATGAGCATTATCTGGAGCTAAGCTAGATACTAGTAAATTTTCATCAATATTCCATGAGCACAGGATGAGCTGATGTCCTCAATAATATTGTCACTTGTTTTAGTTATAGAAAACAGTGATTTTAACACTGAGGAATTGACAGAGTAATTAGAAAAGTCAGCGGGATTTAACTGGCGAGATAATTAATGCTCTGGAATTTCTTCAGCGACAAAATCAGTTAGAAAACTAATAAGTACTCCACCACTAATTTCATTTGAACAGCAATCTCTAAAAACTGGAAAGTTGCTTCCCTAAAGTGTCAAAGTTGAAGACATTTGTTTTAAGCCAAGTTTCGGAAAAACAAGGTTTTATTGTTCCATTCTAAGCCACAGAATTATAAGTCTTTTAGTTGAGTGTTCAAATCTCTTAGGTTTTTACTAGTAGATATTTATGTCGAAAGTTTTTTTTTTTGCTCAAGGAAGCAACAGGTTGTGGCGCAAGATTATTTCTTTGCTTTAATTCAAACTCCAAATTTAAAGCATCGTTCAGTCAAAATGATGAGTTTAAGAGTACGTCAAAACAATCAGCCGAAACATCTATTTTAAAGGAAGCCATGAACCTTTCATAGGAGAAATTGAACTTCCGAATATCCAAACTGGTTGTATCTAAATGATCTTATATATATATATATATATATTGTACATATGTAATATAAGAAAAAACATCTTTCGAGTAGCATTATACATATATGGACATTAATTCAAATAAATAGCTTAAATGATAGCTTCTTTTTACTGAATATATTTTTAATAAAGGATCGCACGAGATAAAACACATCGGGATGTTAAAACAGCTGAAACTGAAAATATTAATTGTTTAAATTTCATCAAAATTTAAACATTTTCTCAAATTCCCTCTTCTATATGTACGAGTATAGTAATCATAACTGTTCCCACTTCATAGCTACGTAGTCGACATTTAACAGAATCGCCCGCATTTAATGAACTAATACAAAGCTCTTCAAATGAATGCTAAATTGAGCGACGGAGACTAAGTTTTTTCCCAACTTTTAACCCGTTGTTCGCGATGACAATGAACAAGAAGAAGAACGAACACTTTTGCCATTCCAGTTGCACTGTGTTTTGTCTTGTCTTGCTGTTACTCTTAATCATGTACAAAGTTCAAGAAAAGTACAAGTTGTTTGTGAAGTCCATTGTTTAATATTTATGTAAGTACGTTGTTGATGTAGATTTTAATTTACAGACAATTTGTGTATGTCAAAGGAAATTAAATTGAAGTGCAGATATTATTTCAAGCTGAGCAGATATTCGAAGAAAGTGCAATTAATGATAATTGAGAAGGAATTTTTGTAGTAGTGAAAGTTAAAAAAAAGCAATAATAATCATTAAAAAGTTGAATAAATAAAAAATGGAAACAAATTGTAAAAGAGAACCTTATTAAAGTAATAATAGCAAGCGTAGATATGACAATATTAATAAACAAAATTGTGAATTTTCAAAGAGAATTGCGACAGCTGAGACTTCTTAAAAGAAATTCCACCTCAAGTCGCCTAAGTAGATACTAGAACTTTTATTTACATATGTATTTAGTTCTGAAAATCAACTCGCCACTTTTAAACCAACACACTTTTCTCACCTTTTACTTTCTTAAACTACATAAATATGTACATATGTATTTTCTTTATCTTTTTGTTAATCCCTTTCCCGTACAAAGATCACTTTGTGAAAATAATTTTCTTTTTAATAATAAACAAATTTTTCTTTCATTTGGCTTTTGTTTCGCTTTGTGGTTGCTTTTGTCGCATATTTGCTTTTTCTTTTTCGTTGGCTTTGTTTAGCATTTATTTGTATTTACATAGTGTATGTGTACAACTAAAATCTCTCGGTCACAGTTGCCAAATTAGTGTAATTGTCACTGGGATTTTCATTTGTGGTCATAGAACTCAGTCGCAGCAGCAACAGCAGCACAACAGCATCCGCGGCTGAGCCATCCATACACACAATCTACTTATGCCTTTGTGGATTGTATTTAATGTGCCTA